GCCTCCTTTTGTGGGTAAAATTCAGTATTAACCTGGTTCCAAGGTAGTGACATCATCTATCTTCTTCTGCAGCTCTCTCAGTAATAGAACAAGCCCTTTAACATTCTTCTCTTTTAGATGTTCCTTTCTCCTCTGCAGCAACCTCTGTGACTAAGAGCCACCAGTTTCTGTAATAGGAGAAATGGCACCAATATAGTGTGCGTGGCTCTATCTTCACAGTAATTCAATTAGAGCCACTCCAGCTTCAGAGCCACACAGACAGCGCCATTCCACTGACAGCAGAGATTCCCTCTATGCCCAAAGAATGGGTCTCCTGTCATGGAAGAATTCTCCCTGTTTTAGAGACACAAGCTGATCTACAGAGTTACCACTCACCTATTTTTTAAAAATAATGTCAAGGACAATAAAAAAAATGTAGAATGGTAGAAGCTCCCCACCAGTTAGTGTTTGTTTCTGTAGTAAACAAAATCTAATGGGATATACTGTATGTCACAGAAAGTACATTTACTTTTAAACATACTGTATATACTGATGGAAAAAAGAAATGCCTACACACTCTATCCCTCCTGTCTGCGTGGAACAGGCTGAAGAGTGACTCATCCCTGATGCCACTGGTGATGAGTCCATCGCAGCCTCTGTCTGGCCCAAGCCAGTCGGGTGTGACGTCTAGGAGGTGTGAGCAGACCTCTGACAGGTCGCCTTGCTCTAAGGCCAGCAGCATGGAGCCTCACTGTCCTGTCACTGATGCGGGCATTGTGTCTGCCGACAGTTTCTGCAGCAGTACGGCTGGCAGATCTGAAATGATCTCTCAGATGGACCAGTCTGATGTGTTGGTCCTTCTCTGGTGTGGTCACCAGTCATCTGTCCTGCTGGTCTGCAGTGAAACCTGCTCTGCAGTCGAGACACAGTGGAGAGGCTTACTCCATAGCGTCTGGCAACGCTGGCACATGACATGCGTGCCTGCAGCATGCCAATGGTCCTCTCCCTTGCTTCTGGAAATACTGGAGGCATTATGGAATGCACAGAAAACTGACTTTGTTGTCTTTTTCTTGCAGTGACCTAAGCTTTGAATTAAGGTAAATTTAAAGGTGACCTGATCAGGTATTGTTCCACCTGGACTTCGTTGAGTAAAAGTGCACCCAACGAGCTTTCGTGTGATTGGCAAGTTGCAATGGCTCACTGCACAAGCTGTATTGCTGGTCAAGGGGCTTAAAACAAATTGACAACTTTTTGTGAAGGTACATAAGCTATAACTATAGTATTCTCATTCCAGAAAATGTTGTGTTTCTTTTTTCCATCAGTATATATAAACTCCAGACATTTCTGGCATTGTCTCAGAAAATCCCCGTTGCAGAGTTCAACTTGGATTAATGAATACATCCAGTAGGATCAAACTGAAACTTAATGCTGGTTATTTTTACATAAAAGTGTGACCATATTTTTAATTATTCACAAAGAACATATGACTCTGCTCATCTCCTATATACTTTATTTTACCCAGCCGCTATCCAGAGCACATACAGCTGCCACACTGCCAAGTAGCGCGATGCCTCGTTTCATTTTCATTCGTTTTGGAAGACAACGATTTCGTTGAAATAGGTAATTAAAAATTACCTCCCAAAATTACAGTACCTTATAATTCGAACATAATTCAATAGTATCTGTGATTTTTAGTTTACACATTTCAAAACCTTCTAATTATAATTTATCACCAACATTTTCTTAAAGTATTTCGTTTCACATACCGTCGGACGCATTAGAATGTAATAAGAGTAACTAAAATCATTATAACAATCGTTTATAATTTACGGATTTTCTACTTTTAGTAACATTTTATATTTTTATAATTTGGATTATCAACGTACTTTTTCTTGAGGAGTTGCCAAATACTACCTTCAGAGGTAGAGAGGGTAGGTAAAAGAGTTTACTGCTACATGTCCATGAACATTGGAATTCGTATTTGCGCTATTCTTTAAGGATAAGCACAGCGCAGTGCAACAGACAACACCATAGTACATAATAAATAGTGATAGAATGTACAGTCAATAAACAACCAGAACAGGAAATATATGGTAGTGAACATAAATACATGGCAGTTCAAGTCAAAAGTGCATAGTGTAGAGACGCATTGAGTTCTGAGGCATTGCGCAGTTACAGTATCTGTTTATGATGCGCACCATACAGTATGTGACTCCATTCTAACTGAGGAGATCATCTTGTTGTGCCAGCTCTTGAAACAGAGAACAAGAACATATTTTGTTGGCCACAACCATTCTGAATTTCAGTGCTGATTGCCCTTCCTTTGTTAGTCCAGATGTTGCCTCTGAACAACCAAAGAGTGCTAATTCAGGATCAGAGGGAATATTCATCCTCAACACTTTCGAGTACCACTGGACTATTTCTATCCACAAGGCATACAATTCAAGACGTAGTCAGATGAGATGTGTGAGTGTACCACCAGAGACCCTGCACCTGTCCCTTAAAGGAGACACTGAAGGGATGTATCGTGTTCAGTTTAGTTTTAGAGTGATGAAGTCAATGCAAGACCTTGTATTGTATGACTTGATGATCTAGCATTATAATCGAGCACCCGTGAGAGCATTGTTTAAGCCCTTCACCCAACCTGCATTCAAAAATTCTATACGGAGCTCCTTGCACTGAGCATATTTCAGGTGACAAACAGACAGTTTAATGTGCTTGGGAAAAAAGACACCAGCTGTGACTTAGAAGCTCATTGCACGAGATCAAAGAACAGACCAGCTGTAGGCAAATTGAGGCACATTTTGCTTAACAAGTGTCTAAAATGTAAAAGATTTAAAAAGTACATTTGCGTAAGGCTTAATTAATATCTTAACTGACAAAATATACACGATATAGTTCAGGTGGGTAGCCGCGTCAGCATGCGTAGGCTGCAAAGGAACAAGTAATAGGTGTCACACCTGAAGAAGGCTCCACGGCCGAAACATTGTGTTTTTTCTCTCTTCTTTTTTTTCAGCATGGAATAAACCTATTACTTGTTCCTATACACTACATATACGAATACACAATGTAAAGTTGTATAACCTACTGTATAAGATAACTTTAGTGACCCTCTACAATTTCTTGCATGAGGAATTCATCTTTTTGCATACCCCAGCTTGCTCTCCATAAGACATGGACAGAGAGAAGTTAGGGGTCAGAGTGCAGGGTCAGCCATTGTATAGCACCCCTGGAGCAGCTGGGGTTAAGGGCCTTGCTCAGGGGCCAGATGGAGTAGGATTCCTCTGCCAGCTGCAGGACTTGTGTCTGTGTCTTGACCTTGCCTTCTGGATTGTTTTTGAATATCTCTTGTTACCGGACCCTCTGCCTCCCTTATCGACCCAGCCTTTGGATTTTGTCTTTTGGATTGTCCCTTTGCTACTCTGCGTCCTGTGGGATTCCGGTCATGCATAAGGATCCTCCTATTCCACGTATAGGTTCTGTGACACAACCTTCCAGACACCACTCCACCCCAAATTTTTAAAAGTAATCAGTCTTCTTCCTTACATTTTGTACTCCTTCACAAAATTATGAAGTGATTACAGGCATTTTGAGAAACATTGAAGCACAACCTGATGTTTTGGGTATTGTGTCCAATTTTTTAATCTGATTTAGTACTTTCAGGGTGTTCCTCAGAATAATACTTGTCCCTGTCATCTTAGTGAGAGATTACAATTTAGAAAAGGGCTCAGCTGGGAGAGAGGTTTTGGTGTTGACTAATGCTTCCATATGTAACCACACAGGAGTATTTGTGTTCTTTACTAGATTTTCAGGGAATGCCATTTTGCC